GCTGTAGTCTAACACCCTGGCCTCACACCCTCCCTGGCCTGGAAATGACGAAGAACATGAAGATCTACATGGTAGGAGGGGAGGAGACTAGACAAGCGTTTGCGGGATTGGATACTCTCCAAAGTCCTCAAGTGTCTGGGTGGACAGTTTCTGACCCTTTTCCTGAGACCTTGGACTCCCAGTCTCCAGCCCCTCCTCCCTCACACCACTGTGTCTAGGTTCCTATTCCCCTGTCCCTCTGGGACCCAGGTATCTAGATGTCCAGCTCGGCAATCCTTCAGGACTCCAGTGTTATCCTAGCAGCAAATGTATCCCCCCCCCCCCCAAGATCCAGGAGCCTCTGCCCCACTCAGCTCTGAGGACAAAGAATCTCCCCATTCCTACTTCCAAGGAACTACATTTCCCATGAGGCTGTGGGGCTACAGTGTGGATTTTTTTAAGTCCCCCATTATTATGGTACCTCAGAGAATTATTAGTTCCATAATGTTAACAAGGATGGGGGCAGAGAATTATTAGTTCCATAATGTTAACAAGGATGGGGGCAGGGATGGATAAGAATTCCTGTCCTGTCAGAGAGTAGGAATAGTCCTGGAGACCCTTGGGATACCTTGCCAGAATAGAAAAATAAGGACCAATGGTAGACTGGGGCCTTAAGGCAACGGGGACAGACATGTGGACTGATCTCAGGGTCAACAGAGACCAGACACAGATCCCATCTCCTCTCTCAAACACAYATACTCGTTAGATACTCCTCTCTCAGACTCTTTATTATCCCAAGATAGAAAAAAATAAAAAAATAAATAAGATAAATACCCCAATAAATAAGAGGAGACCCCAAAATGAAGGGCCCATGGCTTCAGGAAGCGTAACTGGGGCTTCGGCCCTGCAAAGGCCCCACCATGCTGAGTGGGTCGGAGGAGCCCACATCAGGGGGCTCAGGGACCAGGATCCCTGGCGGCTCCAGGGCTGCTGGGGGCAGGCCTGGCAGTGGAAGGAAGCGGGCTGGTCCTGGTGGCGCTGGGTCCCGGTACGGTGAGTTAGGGGGCAGGCGCACAGGGAGGCCGTGGGATTCTGACTGGTAAACATTGTACCCGTCCTCCAGAAGCTGCTCCCGGAAGCTGCAGGCCTCAGGGTCAAAGTGGAGCTGAGGGACAGAGAACAGGGTTCAGAGACCTAAGTCTGCTAGAACTCAGGAGTCCAGGCCCCAGCCCTCTTCCCTCAGACCCAGGGTCCAGACCCAGCCCTCTTCCCAGACCCAGAGGCTCAGGCCCCAGGTGTCCCGCCTCAGACCCAGGGACCCAGGGGTCCAGGTCCCCAGGCTCCTTTAGGAAACAGAACACTACAAGCAAATTCCTCCTTTACCCCAGGGCAGTCCTGCAGAGATCACCTCCCTGTTCTTACTTCACAGAGAACATTCTAGCCCGGTACCGGTCATGGCTTTCTAAGGCCAGGTAGGGGGTCTGGGTACTGCCTAAAGGTCATGTGAGCCACGGATTCCTGGAATGTCCCTCCCCATGTTCAGGATGAGCGAGGCATGCAGGAGCCGCATGGCCAGGAGCAGGGGTTATAGTTCTGAGACTCAGCCTCTCAGGCCATTCTGCCATTCACCCACGACATAAGGCCAGTGGTGACTGCCTGCGCCTCATTTTACAAACATTGGTAACAACTGTCTCAGCCTGCAGGGGTGGCAGTCAGGTTGTCAGTGTAGATAGCATGGGACGGAGGCCAGCTTGGGTCAAGTGTGCAAGAAAGGGTACCCAGATTGTGAAGATGATACCATGAAGGTTGGTACCCCAAAACAGAGACTGGGAAACTCACCGATCCATACAGCACTCCATCTGGCCTCTGGCACAGGAACCTGGATGTTTTGACCCCCAAGATTTGAATGACCCCAGGCTTCAAGGCTTTCAGCTCCAAGAGACCTGGGGGACAAAGTGGTGAGACCTTGGGAACTGCCTCTCCCGGGCCCCACAGCCTCCTCCCTGAGGAATCATCCACCCCACACTCACTTTCCGGGCTTTGATGGGCAGCCCCCACCACGGTGCCATCAGCCCTGATCTCCAGGTGGGCCTCAGTCTCCTGGGCATCATCTGTGTACAGGTACCGCTGCCGGACTTGGCCCCCAAATTGGAGGAGGGGGCTTGAGTCAGGGATGGGGTACGCCTGGCAGGCTCCCAGCACAAGGGCAGCCAGCACCAGGACCCACAGTCCCAGGGGCTCCAACTTGGCCTTGTCCCAGTCCATCAATGGTTCTTGTCCTCAGGCGGGGTCCAGAGTTCGGGGTCTGGAGTATGGGGTCCGAGGAGGTGAGCAGTCCTGAATCAATTCCAGATGTGCTTGTCCGGGACAGCAGATCGGCTGTGGCTCAGATCATCCAGGAGCTTGAGTCCTCCTACCTGTGGATCCCCAGCTGACAGGACACCCAGGACTCTTGGGATGGATGCAGAAGCTCCAGGATTTATACCCAGACAGACCCGCCCTCTTGCCCTCCCCACTCCGACACATGATATTTGACCCATTTGGCAGAAGCCAGAATTCCACCGTGGCCAGGGCAGTCTGGATGGATGATGCAATGAGGGGGGGGGGTCCTTTGAGCTGGGGGCCTGGACCCTTGGGTCTGGGGGCTGAGGGAGATGAAGACCTGATCTACTGGGACTAGTTGGAAGGAGCCAAGGGCTTAGATTCCTGGTTTTGGGGAAGGAGGATCTTTGTGCTCAAACTTCTGGGTCTGAGGGAAGAGGTCTGGGAATTGGACCCCTGTTCGAGGGAGGAGGCTTGAGGCCAGGTCCCCTGGATCTGAAGGGTGAGTTCTGGGGCCTTGACCTCTGGGTCTCAGGGAGGAGGCCTGRGGCCCGGACCCTGGGTCTGAGGGAAGTGGGGTAAAGATCCTGGAAACTGCTTTCCATATAGATTTTTGTTGTTGTTGCACGCATGAAATTTACATCCCTTTTCAATTTCTAGGTTTCTGGGTATTGAAGGTCCGACCCTTTCCTTAACCATCAGGAAGCTGAGACCACGTGAAAGAAGTGTCCCTAGCAGGTGTCCTGGCTTGGAAACCTCACTCTAGGCCACGGATCAATTTCACCCTCTTCAACCCCTGCTCCGTGGCCTTTCCTGATGCAATCCTGGTGTTTCTTACACCAGAGCAGCTACTMGGGGCCCAGACGGGTGCTACCAAAATAGACTGGGGGAGGGGATGGTGAGAATCCGACCCTGGTAACCAGGTCCTGGAGGGAGAAGTGAGATCCAGAGGGGTTGAGTAACTTCCTGGAACCCCTAAAGTGCAGGGGCTGGATTCCTGGGTTGGAGGGAGGAGGGCCTGGGAGTCTTCAGTTTTAAGAAATAATAGTCAAATCTCTGGTGAGTCAAGTCAAACGCCTGTGTCTTTGAACAGGCTTCATGTGTAATGACAAGGGTCTGGGTGCTCAGGGCCAGGGCAGTGGGGCCTTGGATGGACCTTGGACAACAGAAACATAGAAACGGGTTCTGGTCGGCAGGAGCTCAGAGCCTTTGTCCCTGGCGCCAGGTGCAGGGCCTGGGTTGGAGGCCAGGGAGACGAGCCCTCTTTTCCCTGGATTTTCAGTTTGCAGGAAAGGTTGCCTTCGCGGAAAACCCGTCTAGAAAGCAGCAGTTGATCGCCAGGCCCTGGACTTCTCCAAAGGAGGAACTGGGGCGGGGGCTGTGCAATTTGAGTGTGGCTGGGGGTGAATCGGAATGGAGAACCACGGAAGGCTCCAGTCAGCTTCTGGCGGGAGGCCCTCACTCCAGGGCTGGAAGGGCGGGCAGAGGCTTTGCATTCCCTTGCGCTCCGGCGGCTGCTGGGCAAACAGGTTCTCCATCCCTTAGGGAGGGCGCGGCAGGGGCGGAGGATGTCCCCCCGACGGGACCAGGTGTGCGGGCCCTGCACAGCGGCTGGGGCGTGGCCGCGCTCGGTGCTCGCCGCGCGGGAAGCAGACCGTAAGCCCCGGCACGGTTGGGCGCTCGCCGGACAGGAACTCCCGGGTCCGGCTTAGAGGCAGGGATCCAGTTCACGCAAGATGCGGCTGCTGCGCGGGCTCCGGCAGAATGCCGGGGGCCAGGGGCTGGGGCGCGGCGCTCACCTCGCCTGGTGAGAGGAGGGGCCGGGGCACCTCCCGAGCCCGCGGCGCCCAGGACCCGAGCCAGGTAAGGGGCGGGGCTCCTCCCGCCTGCTACCTGCCCGGCTCCGGAGGGAGGGCGGAGGCTGCGAGCCTTAGAAACTCGCTCCTCTCCTTTCTCCCCACCCCAGCCTCGCGGCCTGTCCCGGGAGGCGGCTTGGAGGGGAGGGTCGCGGGGAGGTCGAATGAGGGCTGCATGTTTTGGACTGCGCGCTGCGGCCACGCGGAGCCATCGGTGGACCTGTCACTGCGAGGACCTCAGGTTAGTGGACAGGGCGGATGCGGGAGCCCCAGAAACCTCGGGCCTTCAAGCCGCTCCTCCTTCGGACCTGGAGGCCACCCCCAACCTCTCACCACTGAGATCCCAGGAGTCTCCTCCTCACCTGCTTCTACAGGCACTAAGATCTCTCCCGAAGTCCACACCTCCAGCCACTGAGTTCCACTCCAACTGTCGCTTCCCATCACCTCAGTGGTGGAGAGGACCCTTCAAAGACTGCTACATCTGAGAAGGGAGTTTGTGATCCCCAGCGCCTTTTTATTGTATTATGTATTTATTTATTTTTGAAGCAGGGTCTCCCTAAGTTGCTGAGGCTGGCCTGGTAATTGGCATCCTCCTGCTTCAGCCTCCCAAGTCACCAGCACAGGAATGACAGATGTGCACCGCTGAGCCCACCATCCCCCCTGGAGATTCCAAGCGTCTCATCGCTCCAACCTCGGATCAGCRCCCAGCCACTTCCTACCTAAGACCCAGAAGCCCACACTTTCAGCTTCCTCCTTGTCTGGGATCGGGAGTCCCTGACCCCAGGCCTCTCCTCCCTGACCTTCCTGGAGTTCACCTAAATTCACCTTTCCTCCTCTCCAGCCATGTGGGCCCCCAGCCGCCACCAGCTCTGCCTGGCCTTCCTGCTTGTCTGTGTCCTTTCAGCAATATCCTTTCTCCACTTCCTCCAAGACCTCTTTCAATATGGCCTCCGCCTGTCTGTCCTTTGTCCAGACAGCCATGTGCTGAGAGCCCCAGTGGCCATCATCTGCCTGGCTGACAAACAGCTCACCCAAAACACCTCCTCCTCTTGTCTTCAGAATGCTGACCCCGTCTCAGGAACCTGGACTATCCACCCAGATGGTCGGTTGGGTAACCAGATGGGGCAGTATGCGACACTGCTTGCCCTGGCCCAGCTCAACGGCCGCCGTGCCTTCATCTTGCCAGCCATGCATGCCACCCTGGCCCCAGTGTTCCGCATCACGCTACCCGTGCTGACATCCGAGGTAGACAGTCGGACACCGTGGCGGAAGTTGCAGCTGCATGACTGGATGTCAGAGGAGTATTTCTGCTTGAAGGATCCATTTCTGAAGCTGTCTGGTTTTCCCTGCTCTTGGACATTTTTCCATCACCTTCGGGAACAAATCCGCAGGGAATTCACCCTTCATGACCATCTTCGTGATGAGGCCCAGCACTTGCTGAGTCAGTTTCGTCTGGGCCACACTGGGGCCCGGCCTCGAACCTTCGTGGGTGTCCATGTGCGCCGTGGGGACTATCTGCAGGTGATGCCCCAGCGCTGGAAGGGTGTGGTGGGTGACCGTGTCTATCTCCAGCAGGCTATGGACTGGTTCCGGGCCCGGCATGAAGCCCCCATCTTTGTGGTCACCAGCAATGGCATGAAGTGGTGCTGGGAAAATATTGACATGTCTCGGGGTGATGTGGTCTTTGCTGGTGATGGGCAGGAGGGCTCACCAGGGAAGGACTTTGCCCTGCTCACTCAGTGCAACCACACTATCATGACCGTTGGCACCTTTGGCTTCTGGGCTGCCTACCTGGCTGGTGGAGACACTGTCTACCTTGCCAACTTCACCCTGCCAGACTCAGAGTTCCTGAAGGTCTTCAAGCCTGAGGCTGCCTTCCTGCCTGAGTGGGTGGGCATTAATGCAGACTTGTCTCCAGTGCAGACAGGAGCTGGGTCTTGGAAGCTAGGGAGACTTTTGGGACTAGTCTCATCAGGCTAGAGTCAGACAGACGTGTCTCCAGAGGCCTGGCAGCTTCTGGAGAAGTCAGGGGTGGTCCCAGAGCAGATGGTGCCCATGGCCAGAAAGATTCTAGTTGGCCAGAGGTGGAAAGAAGTAGGGGCTTCCTAGAGCGGCCTGAACACCTACAACCAGCAGAACATCTTTTCTGATGGCTGGCAGTGCCCAGTGAAGCTCATGGTGGCTCCAGAAGCCACAGTGCCCACCGGATCATCATTTCCATAGTATTTCTGCATGGCAGCCCCTGAGAACAGGGAACCCCCCCTTCTAGAGTCCACTGGGCTGGTCTTTTCTAGCAGAGGTGTTAAGGAACAAACTCATGGTTGATCTAGAGCAAGCCCTCATTAACTCTCCTTCAGAGTTTCTGGAGTGATTCAGAAGGGAGTTTTCCTAGGGAGGGCCAGGTTTAATGCTTTTGAAGAACAATGTGGGGACTGGGGTATAGGTTCCAGAATCCTACATAAGTATGGCAAAGAATATGATGAAGAAATTACCAGAAACACAACACCCTGCCACTGCCACAAAGATCAAGACCTGGGAGATTGCCTCTAGTGAGCCAGTGTCTTTTTGTGTGTGTACTGAGGATTGAACCCAGTTGAACCAAGGTGTGGCCCATGCTGGGGCAGTGGTGACCAGACCAAAGTCTGTCCAAACCATTGGCCCCTGAGGAAAGTCTCAAAGGATTATTTTTTTCATCCTTTTTTTTCTTAGAGTAGATATGGGAGAGTGGAGAGGAATAGCCATTGGGGAGGTGAGGCAACTTCTGCAGCAGAACTTTCTAGCAATCCAGGAAGACTTCTAATTTGGAAGGTCAAAACTTCCAAACACAAGATCTGGATCTATTATCTCTGGGATTTGGTCAAGCAAGTGTCTTCTTCTTAGCTAGGTTCTGAGTATCTGGGATTTGATATCTGAAATCCAACAAGTCTGCAGAAAGCCAGGGGATACTGTGTTCTTTGTTAACCCTGTCTGTCCCTGAAATCACAGAAGCACTAAATTACTTTTTTGTTTTTGATACCAGGGATTGAACTCAGAGGGCCATATCTCAGCTTTTTTTTTTTTTTTTTTTTTTTTTACATTTATTTAGACACAAGATCTAACTGAGTTATTTAGGATCTCAATAAGTTACTGAGGCCTGCTTTGAACTTGCAATCCTCCTGCCTCAACCTCCTGAGCTGCTGAGATTACAGATGTGTCCATGCCCGACTAAATCTGTCTTTGTAGGTCTAGCATGAAAAGATCTGGAGATAAGTAGACCCCAGTCCCAAGTCAAAACCAAGTAAGAGCCAGAGAGTATAAGACTTTTGACCCATTTCAGGAGCCCTTGCTGCTTTTTGGGTGATGAAAATGGTTCCTCATACACACCCATATCTTGTCATCCCGCTCCAAGAATCCCAGCCTCTGGTCTTCTTAGGGCTTCAGGGTACCATTCCCAGCATAGCTGCCACAAGGAGAGTGGGAGGTATGAATTAAAAGTTCACATTCGCAGCCCTTGTCTCTGGATCTTTCGTGGCTCTGTGTGTGTGTGTGTGTGTGTGTGTGTGTGTGTGTGTGTAAAACACTGGAGAGAAAGTGGAAGCTCAGAGATTGCCACTATTCATTATAGTTTAGGTTATGCTACCTTCTCAGATCTAGCAGCCCTTTGCTACTGAAATTGTGTGAGTGTTCCTAGTGCCCTACATCATGAAGGAGAGTAAGCTTTTCGGGATTCCAAGTATCTGAGCGCTCGGTACCTTTCTCTAGCACCCTCGTTAGTGGCCCCCAGAACTCCCATCCTCCATCCTCCTATCCCATTAGGGCGTTCATCCCCCATAACCTGGGGAAAGAAGGTGGAAATCCAGTGAGCTGAGTATCATTATGGAACTACAATTCCCATAAAGCTTGGGGCGCCAGTCACACTAGAGAAAAAGACCCCAGCGCCTTCTGGGAGTTGTAGTCCTAGGCTAGAAACTCATCTGGGAGGCTGGCAGAGGCACCAAGCCAGAATCCTGGTCCCAAAGGTCAAGGAAGGGAAGACGCTGAGGGCCAGAAGCCTGGTCCTGGGCTCTGAAAGCCAGAGGACCCCGGACTTTTCTTCCGGGGATGCTGGAATGAAGTTTTCCGTAAGGCGAGCACCCTGTGACGTCATGGAGAAGTAGGCGGGTCTCCCTTTGTTGCAGCCCAATCAGAAGCAGAGTTGAGATTCTCCGCGGAGGCCCAAGTCCTAGGAAATATTTTTTGGAATTAGGATCTCGGAAGAGGACGTGACAGGAGTTCCTGGTGGAACCGGGAGCTCCCGTGACACATACCCCTTCCGAAAGCTGTCGACTTCACGCAGCCAAACTGTCCCTCACAAAACCTGAGTTACAGTCGTGGGAAATATTAAGGCAGAAGGACGCGGCACCGGTTCCTCACAGTCTGAATGGGATCCTGAGCGAATCCTGGGTTTGAGGGCACAAGCCAAGGATCAAGGTCGGAGAGGGGCTAGTGAGTTAGGGTGCCTCGCGTTTAGGGCGCTTTGGGGCTCCGTTTCCTGAGAAGGTGCACCCTGAAAATAAGAGGTCGTAGCCTTGGGCAAGGGTGGACAGGAGGGACAGGAGGGTGGCTGGGAGTCTTGCATACATTCGTGGGGTCCCCAGGGTAAGGGATCTGGAGTGGACTTTGGTCTTGAGGGAGTTTTGAGAACCTGCGGGAGAGTCTGATATATTGAAGCTGGACATGGACTTTTCAGCTTGAGGTGCAACAGGGTTTGGGGGCTTGGGTGTGTCTGAGTGTTGATTGGCTTGAGGTTGGGAGTTCAGGACCACATTAATTGTGGGGGAGCTGTGGATCCCATGGATTGGCAGCTTGGAGAGTCTGTATGGGTTGGGGGTCCAGTGTTCTAGTTTGGATATCTAAAGATCTCTCAGGATGCAAAGCCCCTAAATTTGTGCTTTTCTGAATTGGGATTAAATTTCACACTTCTTAAGTCTTTGGATGAAGGATACGAAACTTCATCTGGAGATTTCCTGAAGCTTCTCCTTTCCCATTGGGGAGACTGTACATATGGAGTTCAATGGGTCCCCTAAGATGGGCTTTGGTTTCTCTCCATTTAGCGTCAGCTGCTGGTTTGGGGTCAGAGAACCCTCCTGGAATTTTCTCTACTGAGTGCTCTGGCTTCAATGGGGCCATGTTTTGCGCTCCCATTGGCTGCACTGGCCTGCTTCCTGCTTCCGGCGGGCTGCTGTGTCATATGTGACGCTCGTATTCTTGCGGCTCTAAAGTCCCTGGAGACGGATTACCTGCCTAAACTCATGGGTCCTGATGAAGTGAATAGCACGTATGCTATGATAGTGCGGACCGTGAAGGGATTCTCGGATCTACCATATACTAAGCAAACCTATATGGGGGCCATTGGTGAGGGCAAGGTGGAGCTGAACTCCTGGGTCCTGGGCCCTGGCTTAGGAGGGGCTGGGTCCAGGATTTCTAGGGCTAGGGGTGAAGGGCCTGAGTCAGGGTATCCTGAGTTCAGGAATGCAGAAGGCTTGCATGCAGAGCTAGCCAATATTGTTTCTCTCCCCCTTCTCTAGCAATTTTATGTAAAGAAACCACAACTCCCTGAAGGCAACTGTGTCCATGGTCTTTTAATTAGTCCTATTCTTGCCCAGTAGCCTCATAGGTACTGCAGCTTGTACTAGGGGACAAGACTATGAGACAGTAAAACTGGAATCGGGTTTTATATCCACCCATAGGTGAGAAAAGATATGAAACAGTGATCACGAGTTTCCTGAAGAATCTGAAAAACATCACAGAAAGTAAAACAAAAGGTTAATGACTGAAAGGCTGGGAAGGGGGGTCCTGGATTTCTCAGGAGAGCCATTSCTAGTGATGTCTACCCTGGGGATGTGATGCGTGGCTCTGGGGCTAACTGCCTAGTTCAAATTCTGGCTCTGCCACTTCCTACCCATGTGGCCCTGAGCGAGAAACTGGGCAGTTTCCTCAGCTCTACACTGGACAGCATCACAGTGCCCTCCTCCCTCAGCTCCTGGGAGGATGAGGTGGGTTGATACCTGTGCATCGCTTAGCCCAGTGACTGGCACTGTGTGAAGGGCTTGATTTCTGTAAAAAAAGGGGAATGCCCCTCCAGGTGGCACATTCCCTGTAGCCCCTGGTGCTCAGGAGGATTAAGGTAGGAGGATCATTTGAATCCAGGAGTTCCAGACTAGTCTGAGCAACATAGAGAGACTCCCTGTCAAAAGAAAAAAGGGAGGGAGTGCCATGCTCCATGACCAGAAACCCACTCCCCAAACCTGCCTTTCCCACAGGGAAGCAGAGCGTTGAGAACCTGAAAGAGATGTTGCGCCTCGAAAAGATAAACTTTGCATTCCACGCTTCTAAGTTTCAAAAAGAAGGTGAGAGAAATCAGGGCTCCTGGACCCTAGCCTCCCTACCCCCCATTTCCCAAAACCGACAGTCCCTCTTCCCCATCCTCTCCTCCTGCTGAACCCTCTGGGGGACTTCTTTCAGGTCCTTCTCTGGGAAATAAGAACCCTCAATTCAGCTGTCCCCGAACTCCCTCTCCCCTCCATTGAAAAGTCTGATTTGTTCCTTCCTCTTTCTTCTCCCTTCTGAGGCAGATTATTGTCCCAACAAATGTGGTGAGTGCAGACAACAGAAGCTATTCTTCTACCCTCATCCATGGCCCATGATACCCATCTTCCCCCCCTCCCCTTTTTGGATGCGCATTCGAAACATCTGAGAGGTTCCTTGGTTTCCAGTCATCTTTCTGCAGCTTGGATTTTGCGGGTAGCAGGTGTACTCCATTTGGACTCTTAACTGACCTTGGAGGGTTGATCTCCTAGGAACCTGGCCCAGTAGGGCCCCAGCCCTTCAGCCCTTTGCCTTGCCCTCTCTTTCAGACCCACCTCTTAGTGGGTGAACACAGCCTTGACCTTGCCCCTCCAGGCGTCATGTTTCAGACTTTGATCTGGTGCGACTACTGCAGTAAGCAGGTTCAACTTTGTARGAAGAAGACCGAAGAATGTGGGGGTGAGAGCTGGACCCGCTGAGGGGTTGGTGGGAGAGGGATGGGGCCACAGGAGGGACAGTCCAGAGAGCTCAGAATGCAGACAGCAGACAGGGAAGGGCCTGGCCCAAACAGAGTGGAGACTGTTTGGGGAGGGTTATGACCTCAGAGGAAGCATCTCACAGTCATGCCCTGTCCTCAGATCGTGTTGAGGAGATCCATGAACACGAAGCTTTAAACTTGAACTGTTTTCTCGATTGGCACAAAGAAGCTGTTGGCCTCACGAACTACGTCTTTTACAGGGTGGGGCCCTCCAACTCCTGTAACCCTTAAACCCCAAGTCCCTCAGGTGGGTATGACCCCCTGGTCCCTGGATGCCCTGGCCTGCACCCAACCCTCGTGGCCTATTAGGTGAGGTCCCTCCTGACTCCCAGGCACCCCAAGCCCTTTTCATCTATGCCCTGGATTCCTGCTCCCGGCATTGAGTCCCCCAACCCCTAAATTCCCCAGGCCTCTGTGATATTCTTGAGCTTGGGTCTAGGTTTGGGAGAACAATTCAGAGACCGTGCTGTACAGYGGGAAGGATCCAGTCTTTAATAGGCCCTCCGCGTCTGTGAACGATAGTGGCAAGTACCGCTGTGAGCTGGGCACTGTTTACAACAGGCTTTCCACGATCATTCATTTTCTTGTCACAGGTAAGTATTGGGGTGCAGCTCCTGGCCCTGGATCCCATGTATGGGGGATGTAAATTTCGGTTAGGGTGTGCCTCAGGCCATGGAGGTATGGCTTCTCAGCTGTGCTGTGGCTTCTGGCTGCAGGGACAGGGTCCCTTGGCTTTTGTTTCTGCTGGAGGGCCTGGATACTGGGGCAGGCTTGCCCTCACTCGCTGCCCTCACTCATTGCCACTCYTCTGTCAGTGTTACCCCGTGACCTGGAGGGCTGGAAGCCAACGGGTGAATTCGCCCCGCCTAAGACGGAGGGGGGGAAGAAGGAAGTAACCCCGAGCCCAGAACCGGAGACCACGACTGCCAAGCACCAGGAGGTTAAGAGTATGCTGAAAGGGCGCATCTATGGCCTGCTTATCTGCTTACTTATAATCCTGATAGCAGCCATTATCTTCTGGTGAGTCACCCTGGAAGGAAGGCAGAGCTTAGAGGGAGAGGTGAGGCTTCATATTGTCCAAACTCAGCTTGCAGAGCCATTGAGTGACTTCTTGAAGGTAGGGGGAATTACAATTTGGTGGGGCTTCCTTAGGTGAGCCAGACTTTGATGACTGTCAGATTTGGTGGGGGACGCTAATGCAGGTGTCTCTCAACCACTGCCTAACTAACAAGACTCCATTATTTGCAATCCCCACCCTCTATCAGGCTAGTCACTCGGAAAAGGAAGAAAACTAAACCAAAGTCCTCACAGGCCAGCATTGATAGTAAAAGTTCTAGGATATCAAGGAAAGCGTCTTCAAAATTGCAGAAGAAATAAAGATTGGTCTTATCTAAGTATCTGTTTCACTCCTCTGGACAGATCCACATTTTGGGTTCCCTGAGAGGTCTGGAGAATTGGTTTTGCCTCAGGGAGGAGGGTCTGGAACCAGGGTCCCTTAGTCCCGCTGGAGGGGCCAACAGACTGTGACAGAAGAAGTTGCCAGAACTGGCAGCCCCCAGTCAAGAAACAGGGCAGGGCCTGCCCTTCCAAGACCCTCCCCAACCCCCAGCCTAGTCTTGTGGTAGGTCATCTCTTCCCCGTTCTTCCTGCCAGGTTTCCTCTCACCTTTTCCTGTCCCGAACCCAGAGCTGGGAGCTGGGACAGAGGCAAAGGCTTTACAAAAGCAGGAGTTAACAGAGGCCAACAGAGCCAGGCTCCCTGGGTGCCACCGGACAGGCAACTTGTTCAGAGCCAGGGACGCAGAGTGGTCACAGACATCTGTACTCGTGAATCCAGGGCCTACCTCTCTCTCCAGATTTACCTCCTCCCCATCCCCAGCCACCCAGCGCTGGCACTTGGCCTTCCCCATCTATGGCCATGCTATCTGGTGAACAAGAGAGGAGAGTAGAAATGCTGCTTTGGGAAGCTCTGCTACCTGCGGGCCTGTGGATCAGTTCACTCCCTGGAAGCAGCTGCCCAATGAGGTCTGCTCTGGCCCAGAGCTGCCTGTSGAGTGCATAGCCACCCAAGTGGRAMACCTGCCCCTGCCCCACCTGCCTTCCATCTGCTCCTGTTTTGGGCCCAGCCCCATGCATTGCTTCTTGTGAGGGACCCCAAGATACCTGACTCTGGTTTTAGTCCTGAATGGGCAAGGGAGCCTGGGGCAAGCTTACCTGGGCCCAGGGGGGGAGAGGTGGGCTCAGGGCACTGGGATGGGCCACACAGAGCAGGCTTTGATCCGGCTTCCTTCCTCCTCTCCCTTCTCACCCTTTGGAAATGGCTTCCATGGAACTGGCCTTTATTTATTTGAACTCACTGTTTMTTGGACCTCTACTCACACCCATCTGGGTCCTCCCTGGGTCTATCTTTTCTGTCTCTGCTCCCTTCCCACTGCCCCCGACCCGGTATTTGTGTGCTTCCCTCCTCCTTGGCCCCCATCTCAGTGTCTGCTTGCTTTTCTGGGTGACTCTCCTGCGTCTCTGTTCATGGGTGGCTCCCAGGTCTTGTCTTCTGACACAGGGAGCCGCAACAGCGAGCCGCTGCCCCCACCCGGAATTGTGGAAGTGGGCCCACTGAAGGCCGTGGGGGGAGCCTCGGGGAGCCGCGCCCAACGCATCTCCCAGCTCTTCGGGGGCTCTGGGACAGGGACTCCGGA